CATTTAAACACCTATATAGCTTCCAAGGAGGAGGAGGAGGAGGAGGAGGAAGACGACTTGAGGGTCTCTGAGGGTCTTTGATGCTCTCGGAACTTGGTGGGGGTTTGCTTCACATGATAGCGTTTCTTGACCCAACTGAGGAACGTTGTCAGTGCTAGAAAGCAGTGGGGGGGCTTTGCACGGAGAAGGAAGACTGTGCGGTCTTGATGCTCTCTTGAGCCTGGTAGTTTCTTGCAGACGTTTCATAACCCGACTAGGTAACATCATCAGGGCTGGAAGGCAGTGGAGATGCAGGGAGGAGGAGGAGGAGCAGGAGGGCTGTGGGGTCTCTGGTGCTCTCTGAGCTTGGTTGCTTTCTTGCAGACGTTTCATGACCCAACTAGGGAACGTTGTCAGTGCTGGAAAAGAGGGGGGCTAGCAGGGAGGAAGAAGAGGAGGAGGAGGAGGACCAGGAGGAGCATCCCCCTCCCCATCTCCCCTCCCCCCCCTCCTCCAGGAATTGGGTCCAGGGGTTTTGTGTGGGAGCGCGGCCAGGTGAGGAACGTGGGAAGAGCGCAGGTGATGTCAGGGCTTAAGAGGAGGAGGAGGAGGAGGAAGACCAGAAGGAGGACACGAGCAAGGGGGGAGGGTCCACCCTCCCTATCTCCAAGCCCTCCCCCCCCCCCCACGCGGGGGCTGGCGGCCGCGGGGCGGACCAGACGGAGAACGTCTTTCCCCCCGGGGGCGCGGGGGGGGGGGGAGGAGGCAAGGGGAGGGGAGGGCTCCATTCATTCAATGAGTCTATCCTCCCTCCTCCCCTCCCCTCCTTGTCCTCCCCCGCGGGCTTCCTCCGCCTCCTCGTGATAGGTCAGAGCTGGCAATTCGAAGTGGCCCCGCCGTTGCGGATTGGCTGGCCGGGAGCCCCCTCCCTCCCTCCTACGGAGAGGGGTGGGCGGGGCCTGCCCCTTGAAATAGGCGAGCGGGCGCTCCTTCTTCTTCGCCTCCTCCTCCTCCTCTTCCTCGCCCAGCTGCTGCTGTTGCTGCTGCCTTTGTCTGCAGACGCTGCCCAGGCGAGAGAGAGAGAGAAAGCCCCGGAGATCTTCTCCTTTTGCAAGGCTGCCGTCCGCCTGGGAAAGCTCCTCGCAGAGACGGGGGTTGTGCTAGGAAAGCCCTGATTTCTCTCTGCCTTCTCTCCTTTTTGCAGGCTGCCGTCCGTCAGGGGAAGCTGCCCTTCCCTATCGACAGAGCCCGGGAGCTGCCGGATCTCTCTGCCTTGACTCCTTGGCAGGCTGCCGTCCGTCAGGGAAAGCTGCCCTTCCCTATCGACAGAGCCTGGGAGCTGCCGATCTCACTGCCTTCTTTGCAGCTGACATCCGTCTGGGAAAGCTGCCCTTCCCCGCCAACAGAGATTGGGAGCTGCCGGATCTCTCTGCCTTGACTCCTTGGCAGGCTGCCGTCCGTCTGGGAAAGCTGCTCGCAGAGCCTGGGGCTGCGCTAGGAGAGAGAGAGAGAGCGCCCTGATCTCTCTGCCTTGACTCCTCTCCGCAGGCTGCCTGTCCGCCTGGGAAAGCTGCCTTTCCCCACCAATAAGAGGGCTTGACAACAGCTGACCAGCCAGCCCAGGGCATGTGAATCCTTCCCTGGGGGTGGGTGTGAAGGAAATTGTCACGCAAGAAGTCTCGTGGAGTGGGGGTGAGGAAATCGGCTCGCCATGCCGGTGGAGACCTTCCAAGCCAGCCGTGGCATGGCCACGGTGACGGCCACGGCCCCCTTCACCTCTGCCATGCCCTTCCGCATCCTCAACAAGGGGCCCGAATACTTCCGCCGGCCCCCGGCCAGCGTCTCCCGGAAGCTCAGCGCCGTGGAACGCCTGGAAGCGGACAAAGCCAAGTATGTCAAGAGCCAACAAGTGGCCACCACCAAACAGAACCCTGTCCGGCCATTGGTGCTCAAGCAGCCACTCTTCACCCCCGGGGTCAGGCGGGCAATGTTCGCCCCCAACCGGAAGGTCCCTCAAGCGGGGCGGCGGGGAGAAGGCGGCGGCGCCAAATCGTCCCTCAACTTGGAAATCCTCAACAACCTGATCAATTTTTGCGACAGTCCCCTTGCCTTCCCCAAACCAGAGCAGAGCCCTTCGGACAGTCCGTGGCTCCCCAAGGTCCACGGCCGGAATCTGGACAGCCTGCCTTCCACCCCTAAGAACAAGGCCGCGACCGACATCAGCAAACACTCCCAAAGTTCGGCATCTTCCAAGCCGTCCAGCACCGTAGCCGTCCGCCGAGTGGACGTCCGGCCTTGCGGGGTGTCGACGGCCAGAAGTCCCCCCGCTATCCAACTGTCTCTGCTCCCTGTCCCGCCTACGCCCCCCCAAAACCTGCCTGCCACCCCTCTCCGCTGCCCAAGCCCGAGGGGAGAGCCGCAGACCGATAGCGCCAAACGCCAGACCTTGTTACACCGGTCCAAATCGGACTTGAGCGACCGATACTCGCGGGCCACGGCCGACTTGGAACGCTTCTTCAACTACTGCGGCTTGGATCCCGAGGAGGTCGGAGACATGGAGATGGAGCGGTTCACTCGAGCCAGCTCGGACATTGTGTCCGTCAAGTTCCACAGCGTCAGCACCAGCAGCTCGGCCGGGACTCCTTCCCAGCGAAGCACCATCACCGTGGAGGACAGGCAAGCGGAACGCATGCCGTACGGCATCTCCATCGTCGAACGCAATGCTCGAGTCATTAAGTGGCTTTATGGACTCCGGCAGGCAAAAGAGGCCCAGAAGATATCCAACGTATAGCGGCAGCTGCTGGTGGGGGGTGGGAACTCCCCAGCGGTGAGGGGACGAGTCCCTCAACCCTGTCCAAGGCTCTTGGTTTCAGTTTGCAACTTGAGAAAAAAAAAAGATTTGTCGTCCCCGGGACGTGTAAGGGCCCACTTGGTTTTGCCCACCGGGCGATCCCTCGTGACACGTCGATCTTAAAATCCTTTTTTGTTGTTTGGGGGTTGTAGGGGGGTTGGAATCGCTTGTTCTGTTCCCGATCCAAGCTTTGAGGCTTTGTCACAAGACACCAACACACCAAACGGAGACAAATTTAACTTGTGGGGGAGGGGGTCCTTGGTGCTTCTCTGAGCTTGGCCGTTTCACTGTCAAGACGTTTCGTGACCCAACTAGGTAACGTCATCCGTGCTAGAAGGGAAGTGGGGGGTTTTGCTCTCTGTTTATAAAGGAGTGGTTTGTCCTGTGTGTGTTGGTGGGGAGTGTTCTTTGTGGTTCCTTGATACGGCTGTTGTTTGCTGTCGGGGTCCTTGGGGCTCTCTGAGCTTGGGTTTTTTCTTTTTTTCTTTTCTTGCAGACGTTTCGTTACCCAACTAGGTAACATCATCAGTGCTAGCAGGGAGCGGGTTTTGCAGAGAGGAAGCAAGGGACAATGGCAATGTTGTGGTCCTTGGTGCTCTCTGAGATTGGTGCTTTCCTTGCAGACGCTTCCTTACCCAACTAGGTGACATATCCTCAATGTTGGACGAGAGTGGGGTTTGCGGGGCCTAAAGGCAGGACTAGAACTCGCAACCTTAGAGAACAGCAAGGACTCCACACTTCATCCCCGAGCTACAAATGCTCTCTTCTATTGCTTGTTGTTTACTATTTCCTGAAAAAAAACGTAACGCGGAGGTTCTTCACTCACTTTAAATTTTCCAAGAGGGGGACCAGCCGGGTTTTTATGGCGGCTGAGGATGATGGGAGTCACGGATTCCTTTAGAAGCGCATCTCTTTGAAGAGGCTCCTTTGCTGGGTGTCGTAAAAAATGGCACCCCCCTGCCCCCTTTTCTTTCAGGGGAAGCCCCCTCCCCCCC